TAAATCTAATTAATCTTTATCAATAAAAAATTGGGAGTCAAGGGCTGGAGAGATGGCTCAGAGGTTAAGAGCACTGACTGCTCTTCCAGAGGTCCTGAGTTCAATTCCCAGCAACCACATGGTGGCTCACAACCATCTGTAATGAGATCTGGTGCCCTCTTCTGGCCTGCAGAGATATGTGCAGGCAGAACACTGTACACATAATAAATAAATATATCTTTAAAAAAAAATTTTAAAAAAATGATAGAAAGCAATCAAGGAAGACATCTTTGGCCTTTACACAAATAAACATATAGAAAGAAGAACTTCTTGCATATATCCGCACACCATACACAATCATGTGTACACACACACACACACACACAAAGTGGGCTGGGGACACAGTTCAGTGATAAATAAGCATGCTTAGGCACTAAAGTCAATCCTCAGAAAAGAGTAAACAAAAGAAAAGGGCAGGAGTCACGGCACACACCTGTACTCCAGCACTAGAGAGGCTGAGGCAGGAGGATTAGGAGATCAAGGTCCTTCTCAGCTACCCAGCTAGTTTGAGGCCATCGTGGATTACATGAGACCCAGTCATAAAATAAAATCAAGTCATACCATGGAAAATTTAAGACAAATGGAACCTAAAAGATCTAATTTCGGGAGTGACAGCTCACTCCTGCATCCCAGCACTCAAGAGAAGGAGGCCGGGAGATCATTGCAAGTTCAAGGTTAGCCTGGTCTTCAGAGTTAGTTCCATGACAGCTATGTGCATAAAGTGAAGCCTTGTTTCCAAATCAAGCTGGGCACTTGAGAGGGAGAAGCGGATGGCTCTCTGTAGATTTGAGGCCAGCTTGGTCTACAAAATAAGTTCTAGGCTATCCAGGGCTACATAGAGAGACCCTGTCTCCAAAACAAACAAATCCACAAAACAACAACAAAAAGTGAAAGAACCATCGGGCCAGCAAGAGACTCGGCTGGTGTGGTGCTCACTGCCAAGCCTGAATACCTGAGTTCAGTTCCCAGGACCCAGAAGATAAAAGGAGAGAACTGACTCTTACAGGTCATCCTCCGGCCTCCACATGCACACTGTGCACTTCTGCCATGGTTCACGTGTTCCCCCCACAAATGAATTTTAAAAAGAAAATTAACCAAATTACTTCAGTCTTTTCCTTCAACAAGATTTGTGCTATTTGCTTGTGTCTCAGTTTAGTTTCTTCATTTTTCTACTTAAAATTTATTTTAGATTTATCTATTTCATGTATATTGAGTATTCATGTGCACTAAGTGCATGCTTGGTCCTGAGGGGATCAGAAGAGGGTGTGGACTCTCTCCTGGGTCTGAGGGCACTGCATGCACGTGATACTCCTGCAGGCACACAAACACGCACATACATCTTAAAACCAAGACAAACATTACATGACAATACAACGCTAACCTAAAGACTGGCAGCAGGGCTAGCAGATGGTCCAGTGGGTAAAGATGCCAAGCCTGACAACCTGAATCCGATCCCTGGGACCCACACGGTGGAAGGAAAAAACCCTGCAAATTGTCCTCTGACCTTCAGACTCACCACGTGTCAAATAAATAAATAGTAAGTAGATGTAATTGTTTTTATTTTTTTTTATTTTATTTTATTTTATTTTATTTTTTTTTTTGGTTTTTCGAGACAGGGTTTCTCTGTGTAGCTTTGCGCCTTTCCTGGAACTCACTTGGTAGCCCAGGCTGGCCTCGAACTCACAGAGATCCGCCTGCCTCTGCCTCCTGAGTGCTGGGATTAAAGGCGTGCGCCACCACCGCCCGGCGATGTAATTGTTTTTAAAGTACTGAGGTCATGGGGGTGCACACCTTTAATCATAGCGCTCAGGAGGCAGAGGCAGGTAGATCTCTGTGAGTCTGAGGCCAGCCTGGTCTACAAAGAGAGTTCCAAGACAGCCAGGGCTATATAGAGAAACCCTGTCTTGAGAAACTAAGGAAAAAAGTATTAATTTATAATATAAGTTAAAATAAAGTATAAATTTATATTTTTAAAAAAGCACTGAAAACAGTGTCTAAGTACTGAAAGCATCTGCTCCATCCCAAGTTCTGAGCAGACCACCCACTCTTAGTGACTTCTGTGTGGCTAACTACAGCAGACTTCTTTCCTTGTAGGAAGTCTGTGACTTCAGGATGTGTTGAAGAAATGAAAAAACAAGCCCTTCATTCCTCTATTCTTCAGAGTTTCTTGTCCTTTTGGAAAAGATTTATTTATTTATTTTTAAAGATTTTAAAATATTTCTTAATTGTGTGTGTGTGTGTGTGTGTGTGTGTGTGTGTGTGTGTGTGTGTGTAGTGGGTAAAAGTGCCCACAGAGGCCATAGGTGTAGGATCTTCTGGAGCTAAAGCTACAGGCAGTTGTGAGCCACCTGACGTGGGTGCTGGGAGCCAAACTCAGGTCCTCTGAACGAGCAGTGGGCTCTCCTTAACTACTGAGACAACCTAAGAGCCATGTGTGGCTATGTGTGTCTGTGAGTGTAAGCCACGTGTGTGCAGGTACCCACAGAGACCGGAGGACGATCTCTTGCAGCTGCAATTCTAGGCAATGGTAAAGCACATCTACTCAGCAGCTATGATCACTTGCGCAGTAAAAACTACAGTGTGGATGGGAAGGCGACTCCCAAGGCCCCACACCTCTACAGGAGACGCTATTGGTAGTTACCATGGCTACCAGGGGAGGGAGAGCTGCTCTTCTTTGGAAATGTGGCTGCTGGCAGGTTGTTCCTGTCCCAGTGGATACCACACACCCATGTGAACATGGGTGCTCCTAACCGGACCCACTAGGTAACTAACAATACTTCTCACAGAGGCCACCAGAGGGCGGGAGGCAGCTTTCTCCACCCCTCTGCTCTGTTCCTTTGAGGTGGAGTCTTCCTCTCAACCTGGAAGAGGGTGGATTGGGGTGTGTTTGTTTTTCCCAGTGAAGTCAGAAGTTGGGGTTACAGATGTGGGCGGGACCATGGCTGGCTTCTTGCATGGGTGCTGGGATCAGAGATCTTCAGATCAAAACAGAACTTAGTAGCTAAAATATGGAAGCAACCATGTGTGTCCATCATTAGATGAATGCATGAACATTCATCACACACACACACACACACACACACACACACACACACACACACACACACACGCAGGCACTGGGATATTATATCTCATAACTGGGATCAGAACTCCTCATGCCTTCAGAGAAAGTGCTCTTAGCCCCCGAGTTTAGTTTTCCTAGTCTCTGAAGCTTATTTTGATTGGGAAAACCTTAGCAGACATGTGAGTGAATACAAACACTTTTGCTACTGAGGGCAGAGAGCCGGACACAGCACATTGCTGGGCAGAGACGTGGAGCAGTTCCTCAAAACACTGAACAGAAAGAATACTGGAGGAGTCAGCAAGTCCACTTCTTGATAGATGGGGGGATGGGGCCGGCAAAAAGAGTCTTTTGTTTTGTTTTGTTTTTTGAAACAGGGTTTCTCTGTGTAGCCCTGGTCAAATATATATATATATATTTATACACACACACACACACACTCACACACACACACACACACACACACACACACACACACACACACACATATATATATATATATATATATATGTAAGTATCCAAAAGTTTAAAATAAAAAATTGGAGACCGGGCTGGAGAGATCATTCTGGTTAAGAGCATGGTGCACATACACATGAACATGAAGGCAGATACAAGTATACTTAAATAAAAATGAATCTTTTTTTAAAGTATTATACTATAAGTTGCAACATCATACTCATGTCAGAAAGAGGCTGTTTGAAGCCCAGCAGTGGTGGCACACACCCTTAATCCCCGCACTCAGGAAGCAGAGGCAGTCGGATCTCTGAGTTCGAGGCCAGCCTGGTCTATAGCACAGCCAGGGCTATGCAGAGAAACCCTGTCTTGAAAAACAAACGAAGGAAGGAAGAAAAAAGCTATTTTTCTTACTTGTTCTCCTAAATCCAGGCACAGGACTCGGTAGACATACTGGTTCTGTTTCCTCTTGGTCGGCAGCCGGACCTCTGTTACGCTAGTGGCCTCTGGCTTCTCCATGCTCAGCTCCAGAAAAAACCGGGAAGGCTCCAAAATCCATGGATGAGGGCCCCCTTCAAACACCATTTCCTTCACAGACTGCCATGTCACCAAGGCCACTTCTACGGGGTTCAGAGCCTGAAATAAATCCGTTCTATATCGTTAGAGAATTCTTTTATTATTTGTCTGTTTAGACAGAGTCAGGTCTCCCACACTCTGGATATTCTGATCCTATTGCCTTTACCTCCCCAGTACCTGGATTAAATATCTATCTATCTATCTGCCTGCCTGTCTGTCTGTCTGTCTACCTATCTGTTCCCTTCCCTCTTTCTCCTCAAAGTTCTCCTATGTTTCCCCCTTGCTCTCTTTCAAATTCATGACTCCTTTTTCTCTGATTGCTGTTACCCACACCTTTTTTCTATAATAATTTTTTGAGACAGGGTCTCCTCTTTACTAATTTTTTTTTATTTTATGTGTATTGGTGTATTGCTTACATGTGTGTCTCTGTGAGGGCATAGGCTCCCCCAGAACTGGAATAACATAGCTGTGAGTTGCCAGGTGGGTGCTGGGAATTGAACCTGGGTTCTCTGGAAGAACAGCCAGTGCTCTTAACCACTGAGCCATCTCTCCAGCCCCTATAATTTTTGTTTTGAGATTATAATCATTCAGCTTTATTTTTATTATCTGTTTATTTATTTTGAAACAAGTTCTCATTATATAGTCTAAGTTGCCCTGGAGCTTGCTCTGTAGACCATGTTGGCCTCGAACTTTAGACCCCCTTGCCTCTGCTTCCTGAGTGCTGGGATTAAATGCACTCGCCATCACTCTTGGCTGAGACTATAATACAATTACATCATCTTCTCCCTCCTCTCTCCTCTCTCCAACCCTTCTCATGTACGCTTGTTCTCTCTCAAATTCATGGCTTCTTTTTCTTTGTTGTTACGTGTGTGTGTGTGTGTGTGTGTGTGTGTGTGTGTGTGTGTGTGTGTGTTTAAACATATGTTCCTAAATACACATGTACAACCTGGTCAGTGTGTATCATGTATGTTTTCAGTGCTGACGATTTGGCATTGGATAACTGTGCTGGATAGTTAAATGCCAACCTGACATAAACTAAAGCCATTTGAGAGGCAGAGACCTCAGTTAAGAAAATGATGGGTTGGGGATTTAGCTCAGTGGTAGAGCGCTTGCCTAGTAAGTGCAAGGCCCTGGGTTCGATCCTCAGCTTCAAAAAAAGAAAAAAAAAAAAAAAGAAAATGAATGGACAGTGGTGGTGCATGCCTTTAATCCCAGCATTTGGGAGGCAAAGGCAGGTGGATCTTTGTGAGTTCAAGGCCAGCCTAGTCTACAAAGAGAGTTCCAGGACAGCCAGGGCTGTTACATAGAGAAACATTGTCTCAAAAACTAACTAACTAACTAAATAACTAAATAACTAACTAAATAACTAAATAACTAACTAACTAACTAAATAAATAAATAAATAAATAAATAAAAAGGGGGGCTCCACAAGATAAGACTGTAAGGTATTTTCTTAATTACCAATTGATGGGGGAGGCCCCAGTCCACTGTGGGTGGCGCCATCCCTGGGCTGTTCCTGGGGTTTGTAAGAAAGCAGGCTGAACAAGCTGTGGGAAGCAAGCTAGTAAGCAGCTCCCCTTCATGCGCTCCTCATCAGCTTCTGCTTCCAGGTTCCTGCCCTGTTTGAGTTCCTGTCCTGACTTCCTTTGATGATGTGGAAGTGTCAGCCAAATCAACCCTTTCCTCCCCAGCTTGCCTTTTGGTCATGGTGTTTCATCACAGCAACAGCAACCCTGACTAAGTCAATAACCAAGTGGTGTGCTCTGCCCTGTGGAGACTGTTTCTCCTGCTCTCTGCCTGTAGTTCTCTGTGCGGGGTTGAGGCCCTGTGAGCTTTTTTCTCTCCCTCCCTTAGCATATGTACCGGTGCCATCCTCTTCCGGGTCTCCTGTGGGCAGTTCTAAGGCATCACGTGGTGCTGGAAACTGAACCCAGGGCCTCTGCAAGAGCAACAAGTGCTCTTATCTGCTGAACCATCTATCTAGCCCCTCGATTTTAATTTTTGATGGAATTAAGCAAGTAGGTAGGCTCTCCCTGCCTTTATTTTGAACCACTTCTTGTAATACGTAATAGACTAACCCTTATGGCCCTAAATAATGGCTGCTGTTCTGAAAATATATAAACACGTGGGGTAAATATGGCTGATTCATCTTCCATAGGACAGGAAGTTGCTGAGAGATAGCTTTCTTTAAAAGGGACTATGCTAATAGTCTGTGTGACTGACTGGTGCTTACAGAGATATATACATATGTAAAAATTCAGGTATTAACTTAAAATTAATGTCTTATGTACTTAATTTCCCACACCTTATACCTCATAGTTAAAGAAGAAAGTTAAGTACCTAAAGTTTGCTAATGCAAGATCAGACATTGCTAATGTCAGATGGGGATGTGGTTCAGTGGGGCGGGGTTATCTGTTTATTGGTTGGCTGTTTGGGAGCTTGCCTAGCACGCAAGAGGCCCTGCGTTCCATCCTGCAGACATGAAGTGAGAGCGACTGAGTACTATTATAATCCTGCACTTGTGATGCAGAAACAGGAGGAGCACAAGTTCAAGATCATCCTCGGATACAGGTCTAATTGAATGTCAGCCTGGGCTACATGACACTGTCTCAAAAAAGAAAAGAAAAGAGAAAGCTGTTCCTGAATGAGTTCATTTAGGAAGCATGGGGGATAAGCTCCCATGCCACTGAGGTTTGAGGAGAGCTTAGATCCAAACCAAGACAACAGAGTAAAGAGGTTACAAATCCTGGTCCCTGATTCTTAGTAGAGAGAAGAGCTGGTGGGCAGCCAGGGCTTCACCAGGTCTCGCAGAGGACAGCTCACCTTTAGAGGTTCATAAGCAGCAAATGTGGCACTGCTCCCAATGTGCTCTTCATGTCCAGTCACACTGACTGTCACCACAGTATGGCCTGGAGATGTGGCTGCTATGTGTACGCTAGAACAGTGCTCTGGTCCAGGCTTTTTAATACCTTTCAATCAAAAGACATGATTTCAAACAGGCGTGGTGACACAGACCCACACTCTCAGCACTTGGGAGGTGGCTCCAGAAGAATCCAGAGTTCAAAGCCAGCCACAGCTACAAAGCAACTTTAAGGCAAGCCTGGACTACAGGAAACTCTGTCCCCAAAACAAATACCCACCCCAAAGTTTACCTCAACTCAGTAGAGTAATAAGCAGTCTGGTTTTAAAGAAAATAGGATACAGAAACAGAATAATTTTAACACGTTAGAAGTATGATCTGGGGCTGGAGAAATGTCTTAGTAGTTAAGAGCACTGACTGCTCTTCCAGAGGACCCAAGTTCAATTCCCAGCACCCACATGTCCACTCACAACCACTTCTAACTCCAGCTCCAGAAGATCCCACACTGTTGGCCTCTTCAGGCATGAGCACTCATGTATACATATCCACATGCTGACATACACACATAACAAAAAAGAATAAAACAGATTTGGCTGGGCACGATGGCACTTTTAATCTCGTCACTTTGGAAGTTCAAGGCCAGCCTAGTCTACATAGTGAGTTCCAGGTCAGCCAAAGGCTATATAGTAAGACCTTGTCTCAACAAAACAAAACAAAACAAATCTTAAAATACATTTATTTATGTATTTTATGTGTATGGGTGTTTTGCCTTTGGCACACCAGAAGAGGGCACCAGATCTCATTATAGATGGTTGTGAGCCACCATGTGGTTGCTGGGAATTGAACTCAGGACCTCTAGAAGAGCAGCTAGTGCTTTTAACAGCTGAGCCACCTCTCCAACCCCTCCCCATTCCCCCGAAAAAAATCTTAAAAACATAACCTTGTCTGGGTATAGTGGCATGCACCAGTCATCTTGGCACTTGGCTCAGGCAGGAGGATTCTCACAACTGCAGTCCAGCTTGGGATACAGAGTAACATCCTGCCTCAAACAAGACAAAACACAGTGCCTTTATATACCCACGTGGTTCCATTTGTTCTATCTTGTTGATGTGTATTTCCCTCTGTAGCTCAGCGTTGGGCCACTCGTCTATCCAATACAAGGCCCTGAGTTCAATTGCCAGCAAGGCCAAAAACAAACAATAAAGCCTGTCTTCTGGTGACGGACATTTATCATGTAAGATAAAGTGAGTTCTACATGCAGTGTGAACACAAGCGTGGGCAAAGGCTCAGACACCAAGGGATGTGTAATACAGAAAGAAAGACAAACAGCATATATAAAATACACATAGATTGCCGGGCGGTAGTAGTGCACTCCTTCAATCCCAGTACTTGGGAGGCAGAGGCAGGGGGATCTCAGTGAATTCGAGGCCAGCCTGGCCTAGAAAGCAAGTTGCAGGACAGCCAGGACAGAGAATCATTTAAAATAATAAGAGAAAGGTAGAAACAGTCAAGAGGTATATGAAACAGAAAGATGGGTTGTAGCTAGAGAAACAGGCGTTGTTTGTTTGGTTTGAGACAGGATCTTGCTCTGCAGCCCAGAGGCCTTGAACCACCCTCCTGCGTTGTCCTCCCAGTGCCTGGCCTACAGGAAGCTTTAGGGAAAGAACCACAAGCTTAGGAAACAAGACACCCAATGAAACATAAAGGAGCCATTGATGATGGGTGATAAAGGAAAACTTGAACGTTGGTTTTGTTAGAGCCACATGATGCCAAAGGAATGAATCCATGAAAAGCAGATTGGGTACCTGTGCTGGGCATGTGGACTGTGGAAAAGGATGCGGGCTCTGCTCTGTGGGCAAAGAAAAACCTCTTGAATGTTTTGGGGCAAAAAAAAGTAATAGGGGGCTGCAGAGATGGCTCAGAGGTTAAGAGCACTGGCTGTTCTTCCAGAGGACCCGAGTTCAATTCCCAGCAACCACATGGTGGCTCACAACCACCAGTAATGAGATCTGGCGCCCTCTTCTGGCCTGCAGTGATACATGCTGTATACATAATAAAATAAATAAATAAATAAATAAATAAATAAGTCTTTTTAAAAAAGGTATCAATAGACTGGATTTGAGCCAGGTGGTGGTGGCGCACACTTTTAGTCCCAGCACTTGGGAGGCAGAGGTAGGTAGATCTCTGAGTTCAAGACTAGCCTGGTCTACAGAGTGAGTTTCAGGACAGCCAGAGCTGTTACACAAAGAAAGCCTGTCTCAAAAAACAACAACAACAAAATAATAATAATAATAGTAACTAATAATAATAATAATAATAATTTGGGTTTGGTGGCTTATGTCTATAATTCCAGCACTGGGAAGGCTGAGGCAAGAGGGTTACACAAGTGACTAGCTAGACTGGCTAGAATGGTGAACTCTGTGCTTTGATAAAATGGAGTGTGGTCAAAGAAGACATCCAATATCAGCTCCAAATCCAGGCCTGCACATACATGTATATACATGTATATCCACTAACATGTGAACATGTGTACATATATGCACACCACACACAAAGACACATTTTTCCTCCATGCTTTTTCTTTCTACATTCATAAAAAAGAGTAGAGGAACATGCTGTAGAATAATCCTTCTGTACACTGTGAATATGTATTACTCTCACTGGTTAATAAAAAGCTGACAGGCTGGTAGCCAGGCAGGAAGTTAGCCGGGAAAGCCAAACTGAGAATGATGGGAAGAAGGGCGGAGTCAGAGGAGTTGACAGCAGATGCAGAGAGAGTAAAATGGACATGAGAAAAGGTACCAAGCCACATGGCAAAGCATAGATAAGAAACATGGGTTAATTTAAATGCAAGAGTTAGATAGTAACAAGCCTGTGCTATTGTCTGAGCATTTATAAGAATATTAAGCCTTTGTGTCTGTTACTTGGGACTGGTGGTCAGGATTGGGAAAGAAACATCTGCCTACAGGAACACCTACTTCAACACAGTTGACAGAATAAAGGAATGATAAAGAAATAAAGGTATTATAAAGAAGTACATGCCTTTCATGCCAGTACTCAGGAGGCTGAGACAGGAAGATTATGAGTTCAAGGCCAGCCTAGAATACATAGCAGGATCCTGTGAGTACATACATGAGTGAGTGAGTGAGTGAGTGTGTGTGTGTGTGTGTGTGTGTGTGTGTGTGTGTGTGTGTATTAAAGAGAGAAAGGGAGGGAGGGAATTGTATGAATTAAACTACAGTGGTGATTGGTCCCTTAATTCAAGGATGAATGAGAAAAATAAAAAGATCTTAGCCTTGCCTTCATTAAAAAGAGTGAAGACTCCTTGCTTATCCGAGTTGAGATCCAGGGGTAGGTGAGAGCAGTCGGTGAATGCAATGGCCTCTTTGGTCTCTGTATTTACATGATACATTGCAATAGGGACCTCAATAATCTGGCCAATTTCCACATCAGCTTGAAATGGTAACAGTTCCATTTTGTTCAGCTTCATGACATATATCTTGAGGAAAAGCAGTTAACTTTTAGGAAAGTCTTAGAAGAGATATTTTAACACATAATCATGTGCTGCATGCATATGCATGTGTAATATATATATATATACACACATATATATATATATATACATATATATATATATATATATATATATATATATATATATATAAAAACATGTAGATTTTGGTGTGGTTGCATATGCCTGATTCCAGCCCTTAGGAAGCTGAGGCTATATGATAGAGTCAAGGGCAGCCTGGGCTACATAGTGAGACCCTGTCTCAACAGCCATATGTATATGCTCTCTCTATTGTTTACTTACAGATTTTACTTCAGTTTCCCCATTCTTTCTCTCTCTCTTTTTTTTTTTGGTGGTAGTGCTACGGTTTGAATCCTGTGCGGACTAGGAAAAGACATTACACCAAGCCAGGCCTCCAGTTAAAAAATATATAAGAATATATATTATAAATAAAATTATATAATTTTACATAAATTATGTGTTATATATAATAAAATTTTTTTGAGACAGAGTTTCTCTGTGTAGACCTGACTGTCCTAGATCTCACTCTGTAGACCAGGCTGGCCTTGAACTCACAAAGATCCACCTGCCTCTGCCTCCCAAGTGCTGGGATTAAAGGCCTGCACCACCATGCCCAGCTTCAGTTAATATATATTTTTAATATAAAAACATATACACATGCTTTCGGGTTTCTACTGCTGTGATATAAACACCATGACCAGAAGCGACTTGGGGAGAAAAGTCCATCCTACATAGACGTCAGGGCAGGAACCTGGGGGCAGGAGCTGAAGCAGAGGTCATGGAGGAAAACAGCTCACTGGCTTGCTCTCCATGGCTTCTCAGCCTGCTTTCTCACAGCACCTAGAACTAACAGCACAGGTGCTATAATTCCAAATGCTGTAACTACAATAGGCTGGGCCCTCCCACATCAATCATTAACTAACGAAAAGCCCCACTGGCTTTCACACAGACCAACATGGCCAGGGCATTTTCTCAGTTGTTCCCTCTTCTCAAATGACTCTAGCCTGTGTCAAGCTGACAAAAAAAACAACCAGGACAACACAGAATCAGCCCTTCATAAACATGGATTATGCATCCTCAGATTCAACTGATTAAAAATACTTGGGCTGGAGAGATGGCTCAGTGGTTAAGAGCACTGGCTGCTCTTCCAGAGGACCTGAGTTCAATTCCCAGCAACGACATGGTGGCTCACAACCATCTGTAATGAGATCTGGCTCCCTCCTCTGGCCTGCAGAGACACACGCAGGCAGTATACTATATATATAATAAATAAATAAATCTTTTAAAAAAATACTCAGGGGGGTGGGGGGGTGGGGGGGGCCGAAACACATCTGTACTGAAAATGTACACTTTTTGTTTTTGTTTTTGTTTTTCCAGACAGGATTTCTCTGTGTAGCTTTGGTGCCTGTCCTGGATCTTGCTCTGTCGCCCAGGCTGGCCTCGAACTCACAGAGATCTACCTGGCTCTGCCTCCTGAGCGCTGGGATTAAAGGCGTGTGCCACCACCGCTGGGTGACTTTTTTATTCATTTGGTTGGAGGTAGGGTTTATGTAGCCCAAGCTGGCCTTGAATTGACTACGTGGCTGCGGATGGCTTTGATACTGCACCCTCTGTCCCCCAGTTCTGGGGTCGCAGGTACACTGCACCCAGATGCACTTCTCTCTTGTCATTATTCCCTGGACAGTGAAGAACAGCTACACACGGTGGCACCTGCCTGGGATTTCAGCACTTAAGAGGGGGACACAAGAGAGCTGCTATGAATTTAAGGCCAACCTGGGCTACAAAGTGAGGCCCTACCAGAAAAACAAACCAACAAACAAAGAACCCCAAGAACAAAAACATAATTCAGCATAACAACTCACTGCCATGGCATTAGAGATCAGGAATCTAGGCTTGACTCACGTAAGAATCACACTCAGTGTACCTCCCCCTCGCCGGTCCCTGTGTTTCCTGTGTACCTTGCAGTCAGAACTAGAAACCCCCACACCATCTCTGCAGCGTTGCATCTTTTACTTCCTGTATCCAACTGATCATCAAATCTTTAGTCCTACAATGGCAGCATTTGGGCGGAGACGGGAGATTGGCCAAGAGTTTGAGGCCAGACTGGGCTACATATTGAGTTTGAGACAAGCCTAGGTTATCAAATAAGACCCTGTCTCAACCCATCCCTCTCCCCAAATAAGACCTTGTTGCGGAATATTAGTTCAACTATGTAAAGATGAGTTGTATTTGTTTTTTTTGGTCAAATATTTAACTATGTAAATATATGTTGCATTTGTTTAATTATGTAAAGATGTGTTGCTGTTTTACCTTGCCTGCCTAAGGCACTTGATTGGTCTAGTAAAAGCTGAACAGCCAATAGCAAGAGAAGAGGTATAGGCAGGACTTCTGGGCAGAGAGTAAAAGGAAGAACCTAGGCTGGAGAGAGACAGAGAAACAGAAGGAGAGAGGGAGATACCAGGGAGATGCTGGGGGCCAGCCAGACACAGAGGAAGCAGGAAAGCAGGACATACAGAATAAAAGAAAGGCAAAAAGCCCCAAGGCAAAATGTAGATGAATAGAAACAGGTTAATTTAAGTTATAAGAGCTACTGGGACAAGCATAAGCTAAAGGCTGAGCAGTCATAATTAATAATAAGTCTTTACGCTGGGCAGTGGTGGTGCACACCTTTAATCCAAGCACTCTGGAGGCAGAGGCAGATGGATCTCTGTGAGTTTGAGGCCAGCCTGGTCTACAGCGCTAGTTCCAGGACACCTAGAGCTACACAGAGAAACCCTGTCTTGAAAAACCTTAAAAAAAATATGACAGGATCTCACTATGTAGTTCTGGCTAGTATGGAATTTACTATGTAATCCAGGCTGGCCTGGAGGTCACAGAAATCCACCTATCTCTGCCTCCCCAGAACCAGAATTAAAGGCATTCACCACCACACCCAGGCAATTTGTTCATTGTTTTCAGATCTCAGTATCATTTCAGTAATTCAGAATTGTGCTGCATAGGTTTTGTGAACTTGGTACAAGCTGGAGTCATCTGGAAAGAAGTGATCTCAATTGAGAAAATGCCTCCAGCGAACTGGCCCATAGGCAAGTCCGTGGGGGAGGGCCTTTTCTTGAGTAAGGATTGCTGTGGGATGTCCCAGCTCACCGTGGGCAGTGCCACGCTGGGCAGGTAGTCCTGGGTTGTATAAGAAAACAGACTGTGCGAGCCACAGGGTGCAAGCCCGTCAATAATGTTCCCTCATGGTCTCTGTCTCAGTTCCTGCCTTGAGTTCCTGCTCTGACGTCTGTCCGTGACGGACTATAAACTGTAAGCTGAAGTAACTGGCCCCCAGTTGCTTCTGGTCATGGTGTTGATCCCAGCAACAGAAACTTAACTGGGACATTGACAGTGGTATCTCAGAGACACTCAGTTTTCTCTAAAGAGACACTTACCTCAATTTCCCCGTATCGAAAAGGATTTTGTACATCTCGTGCCAAGATGGTGCTGTTCCCTCTCACCTGACCTGCAGTTACCACTCCTTTGGTGGTGACCATGGCCACTGTGTCATTAGATGAGGTCCAGGTGAAGTTGCCACTGCCTCCCTCTACCTGTGAAGAACCACAGCCTAAGTTAACTCTTCTGGGAGGAAAGGAGAAGTTAAGTGAAATGGAAAACTTGACTGGTGAAGTCAAGTTTGGAAAACAACAAAATTATGTAATAAATGATCTCTGCACATGTCAAGAAACAATCTGCAGTGAAGTAGGAAAATGAGCAAGAGGAGCATAAGGGGCGGATGGGTAACTGTCCTGCCACAGAAGGCCATGGGGCATCAGGGCATTAGGGAGTACCAAAAGCTTGGTAAAACTCACAAGGAAATGTTAGATTGCAGAGACAGAAAGCATGCCGAGTCTGGATTTGGTGGCTAGCAAACACTGCGATACACCAGGAATTTGGTGGGGAGGTCAAAGCAATAAATTTGGGGCTGGGGATGTGGCTCAGCGGGCGGGTGGAGCTCTGGGTTTGATCCCAGCACTGCATAAACCTGGTCTGGCATTGCAAGACTGTAACTCCAACACTCAAGAGGTACAGCAGGAGAATCAGTGAGTTCAAGGTCAGTCTGAGCTACCTGTCAAAACTTTTTCAATAAAGCAAACTATTAGAGAAACTGATTTACTTCTGTGTGAATTCTATCATTAGAGGATGCTGTACCTGAATTTTGTAACGATTTAATATTCCCAGAGGATGATGGGGAAATGCCAGAAAGCCGGGCTTAAGCTGAATGGGAAAATAGATCTTCACTTCTTGATGGTGACTGATTTCATACTTATTAGACTCAGCACTGCTGTTCTGTAGGAACAAGGAAAAAAAAGATCTAAATAGATTTCCTGAGACACTTTTTTTTTTGTGTGTGTGGTGGTGGTGGGTTGGTTCAAGACAAGGTTTCTCTGTGTAGCCCTGGCTGTCCTGGAACTCTCTTTGTAGACCAGGCTGGCTTCGAACTCACAGAGATCTGCCTGCCTCTGCCTCCTGAGTGCTGGGAGTAAAGGCCTGTGCCGCCAGGATCAGCTCCTGAGATATTTTCATTGCCACTGAAAATGTGAACAAAATGGTGTGTTCATGAAGCAGTCAACCATCTTCTACCTCTAAAAGAAAAGGAGCTGGGTGTGGTGGCGTGGGGGCACAGGTTAGACGTTAACCCAGGAGGATCAGGAGTTCAAGGGCAGCTGAAGTTATCTTTAAAGGCGGAAAAGGCCAGAAAAATAGAAGGAAGCATGCAAAGTTGGTCTAGTCTGCTTTCCATTGCTGTGATAAATACTGTGACCAAAAGCAGCAGGGAGAGGAAAGAGTTTATTTCATTTTCCAGTTCACCGTCTAGCATGAAGGAAAGTCAGGGCAGGCACTCAAAGCAGGAACCTAGAGGCAGCAACTGAGGCTAAACCACAGGGCAATGCTGCTTCATTGGCTTGCTCTTCATGGCTTGCTTTCTTATACAACCTAGGACCACCCACCCAAGGATGGTACCACCCACAGACTTGTTATCAATCAAATGTGTGTTGTGCACACACAGATAATAAATAAAAATTCCAACCAAGACTCAGTTCTTGCCACTGTTCACCAGTGCTGGTGGCCACAGGCAAGGCTAACTGCAGTGTCCCAGGTACACCTCTCTACAGAGCTCCACTCCTAGTGTGGAAGTCCTTGGAAGGAGACAAATCTGCAGGGACTGCTATCTACTCCAGCAGGAAAAACCAGCAGGCCTCAGCACTGGACGCAGGGCGGAGGGCAGACAGGCTGGCAGAGGGCTGCGGGCTCAGCACTCAGGAGTCTCCGGCAGGAGCATTTTGAGTTCAAGGCTAGCCTGGGGTATATGAAGAGACTCTGGGTCGGAAAAACAACAAAAAACCTGGAAATAAGGTAAAAGTCCAATGTCGGGGGCAAGGCTAAATGAATCAGCATGTTAACCGTTTGGAATTTGAGAATAAAAAGATCCCTTACGTGGGGCTGGCTGAGTGGGTGAGAGTTTGTACTGCTTTTGCAGAGGACCTATTAGAAGACTCACAAATGCCTGTCGCTCCAGCTCTAGGGAATCCCAGTGTTTTCTTCCGGCCTCAGAGGTCACCCGCATACAGGTGCACCCCCCTCCCATACAGTTTTACAAATAATAAATCTTTTTCTTTAAGCTACTTATACATACCTGATGACACAGAGAAACACACGTATGGAAAGGTTTCTTAAAGGAACTGTGTTATACGCAGTGGAGGACAGTCTGTAGAGGCATGCCATACTGTGTGGCGTGACAGAGGGAGATGGCATGTCACAGCTGCTTTACATCACGGCAACCCACCCTGCCAGGGCTCCTAGGAAACAGACGGCTGCTGAGACACCTACCTCCTGAAGGTTGGAAGTCAGGGTTGCATTTATCACCACAACTCCATCTTTCAGGGCTTTTACCACGTGGTAAGATCCGTTTGAAGTGCTTAGCTGCTCTTCAAAGTACTCCTGCAGGAACTGGAATGTAATCTCGAGATTCTGAAATCAGTCCAATGGCAACACAAATCTGAAGATGTATTTTTTTTTTCCCCTAAAACCATGTTAATGGCAAACCATAGATAGGACTGCAGGTAGGCACTTAAGAGATGCAGGCGTAAGAACGGAGTTAGGGTGTGCGCTGGAGGGATGGCTCAGTGGTTAAGAATAGTTGTTGCTCTTATAGAAGACAATTCAATTCTCAGCATCCTCGGGGCAGCTCACAACCACCTATCACAAGGCTAGCTCCAGAGGATCCAACACATCTGGTCCCTGAGGGCACCTGCACTCACACCCACAAACACATAATTAAAAATAAACAGGAACTAGGCCGTGGTGGCGCACACCTTTAGTCCTAGAGAGAGAGAGAGACAGGTGGGTCTCTGAGTTTGAAGTGAGCTGCAGTCTACAGAGTGAGTTCCAGGACAGCCAGGGCTACACAGAAACCCTGGCTCAAAAATCGAAAAAGTAAATAAGTTAGCAGGAGCCAAAGAGATGGCTCAGTCCTCTGCTCTTCCAGAGGACCCCAGGTTCATTTTCCAATACCCATGTGGCAGTTCACAACTAAAGAACTCTAGTTCCAGAGCATTCCATGCCCTCTTCTGGCCTCTATTGAGTATCAGGAATACATACATGCAGGAAAGCTACTTATACACATAAAATTTTAAAATATTTTAATATTTAAGATTAATCAATCAATCAATTAATTAATTTTTGTTTTTTTGAGACAGGGTTTCTCTGTGTAGCCCTGGGTGTCCTGGAACTGTCTTTGTAAACCAGGCTGGCCTCAAACTCAGAGATCCTCCTGCCTCTGCCTCCTGAGTGCTGGGATTAAAGGAGTGCGCCACCACAGCAAACTATAATTAATTGACTTAAAACAGAAGAAAAAACAAAACTTTTGCTTTCCCTCATGGAAATTCTAAGTTGGAAAAGGTGTGATTTTACAACAGTACTCATTTGTGGAAAGATTCATCCATATCAGGAACAGAAACAGTTGAAGCTTATAAATTCAGGACAGTCCATGCCATTCCATTCACGGACAGTTGCTAATTCTGAACCCTGACAGTCCTGGGCAGAAACACATTTCCAAGCTGGTGTTCAAATGTCACTCGGCCCCCACAGAACTGGTGAGCATCTATCTCTGTGTTACACGGTGGTGTGCAGAGAGAGGCTTGTCCCTAACTGTTACTAGGCTGATCGACTCCTTCCGTAATTCTGACCATATTTGACTTCTGGTTTAGCATTCCCCAAGGACAAGCCTAGTTAATGGTAATCCTAATCAAAACTAGTAACTTGCATTTACAAGGGTAAAGACTGAGAGCAAAGAAGAAAGCAGGCTTCCGGTCACCCCCCAGGAGCTACCCACAGAGGATCTAGGAAAGTAAGAGAGAGGGCTCTGATGCGGCTCCCTTGGGAGAGCGCTTATCTTGTATGCTTGAGGCCCTGGATTCGAACCACATAAACTAGACACAGAGCACACACCTGCAATCTGAGCACTCTCCCAAGTGGACGCAGAAAGATCAGGAGTTCAAAGCCACTGTCTTCTACATTGCTAGTTAGAAGTCCGGCATGGGCTACGTGGGATCCTGTCTCAGTGAGAGGAAATAGGAGGAAACAAAGGAGAGACTCACATCCGAAATATGGACCCTGGTGCTGCTCTTATCAAATACGTCGACTGTGATGACGTACACCTGGCCCACCTCGAGACTCCATCGGCCGCCAGGATGGATGGTGAAACCTGTGCGCACACAAGGAACATGAGACCAGGAAGAGGCCCGAGTCCTCCTGCCATGAGCTAACAACTGCAAACTTAAAAAGCTACTTAGAGCCCGGTAGTGGTGGCGCACGCCTTTAATCCCAGCACTCGGGAGGCAGAGGCAGACGGATCTCTGTGAGTTCGAGGCCACTTGGTCTACAGAACGAGTTCTAGGACAGCTAGGGCTACACAGAGAAACCCTGTCTCGAAAAACAAAACAAAACAAAACAAAATAAGCTACTTGGAAAGCCCACTTGCTGATAGATTGAAATGGCTCTCAAACAGATCTCTCCTTCAAACTGTGTGGCAATCTAAGATTCCAAAATGCTTGGCTTAATTTATATTAAGTGAAAGAAACACTGTGAATATAAAGACAAGAGCAAAGCATGCTAGACTTGGTACTTCATAATGCCTAAAGACATCAACACTTTTTCTTGAATAATGTCTCTTTTTCTAATTCAGAGATTGTATTTCATAGATTATGGTATTGTTTCATAGGTTCGTTTTGTTTTTGTTCTCACTCACTCACCTGTTCAAGCATGGCTGGTTGGTTGGTTGTTTTTGTTTTAAACAGGCCAGGTGTGGGCTGGAGAGATGGCTCAGAGGTTAAGAGCACTGGCTGCTCTTCCAGAGGTCCTGAGTTCAATTCCCAGCAACCACATGGTGGCTCACAACTATATAGTGGGGTCTGATGCCCTCTTCTGGCCTCAAGTCAATAGAGCACTCATGTACATAAAATAAATAAATCTTGGGGGTAAAAGAAAGAGAGAAAGAAAGAAAGAGAGAGAGAGAGAAAGGAAGGAAGGAAGGAAGGAAGGAAGGAAGGAAGGAAGGAAGGAAGGAAGAAAGAGGGGCTGGAGAGATGTCTCAGTGGTTAAGAGCATTGGCTGCTCTTCCAGAGGACCCAGGTTCAATTCCCAGCACCCACATGGCAGCTCACAGCTGTCCGTAACTCCCAGATCTGACACCCTCACACAGACACACATACAGGCAACGCACCTATGCAAATAAAATAAAAATGAAGTAACTATTTTTAAAAAATGCTTGTGATTCTTAGAACTTTCCCTCAAGAATTTAGCTGGGTCTCAGGGGCTGTTGGGGTGGTTATCATCCTTCACAGGCAGGATTGCTTTTCCACCTCCTGCTTCTCTGAAATGCAGGATGCCTACTTAACTGTATTCTCCATTACGACATTACATCTATAAAGAGACAGTATCAAAGCAAACGTAATGAAAACACAGATTCGTGTATCACTGTAGCGGTGGTTATAGATGCCGACACCTCCTTCCCACATCTTATCATTAGCTGTTTCCTTCTAATGTCTCAGTGCCTCCTTACTAAAATAGAGCAGCATAGAAAGGAAAAAAAGAACGCTGACCGCTCTTCCACAGGACCCGGGCTGAGTTCCCAGCACCCACATGACAACCTACATTCACCGCTAACCAGCTCCAGGGCTCCAGCACCCTCTTAGGACCTCCAAAGGCACCAGTCATGCACTCGGCACACAAACATGCACACACTACAAAGTAAAATAAATCTTTCTTTTTTTAAAGATTTATTTCTTCAAATCTTTTTAAAAGTTAAAAAAATAATTAAGGTTGCTTGCATGAGCATGGGTGCAGGGCTACTCATCTGAACAAGGGCTGTACCGGGGAGTGGGGGTATACAGCACCAAGGGATGGGACCAGAACCATTAGCTAGCTGTGGCTCCTGGGGAGGAGTGGGGTCTCGTGAGCACCTGCCCCTCCCCTAATGGAATATTGCTGAAGCCAGGCATTTTGGGGGGGGGTCTGGAATTCACATGTGGCCCAGGGTGGCTTCAAATTGGCAATTATCCTGCCTCAGTCTTCCAAGTTCTGGGATTATGGAGTGTGCCACCACGTCCAACTGCACAATCTATTTTTTTTTGTTTTGTTTTGTTTTT